TATCGCTCTGTATTAAGATTCAATTTTTGTAACATAAAATTCTTAACATTCAAGTACTTTAAAATATTTCTATTATACATTATATTAAACCGACAAATTATCATTAAATAATATAATAAATTTTTATCTTATAATTAATATTGTTATTGTTATAAAATTAATAATGTTATTTCATGTTTTAGTTATATTTGCAGTTTATAGAAATATATTCGGTTCACAAAAAGTAAAAAAAATCATTCTGGAGTTCTATGTTTAATTCTTTACAGAAATAATAACGTAGATAAAATAAATATAAAAGAATAAATTCAAAGAAGTTTACAGAAATTTAAGTAATGATTCACAAAGTTATGAGCTCTCTGTATGTTGTTTCAAGTTTGCGATTTCCTATGTGCGTTGTACTTTTCATAGAAAGTAATCTGTTATTATATGTTTTAAAATCTGTCTCGAATGTCTATATCTCGAATAACAACTTTAATTTTTTTTATATAATAAGTCATCTTCCATAAAGCATTGAAATTAAAAACAGTTGCATTATTTTATTTGAATATCATAGAAATCTCGTGGTTTAACTAAAAGAGAAAGAAAAATATAAAAACTAATAACATATTCTCTTGTAATACAAGAAGAAGTGTGCCACTTTATTGCTATTCTAACAGCCTTAAAAACTTGATATTTGTAATTTGATATTTGTAATTCAAAGTTATTTAATATTTATCATGAAATTTTGAATTTGATGCAAATTGGAGAGCGAGCGGAAACGAGTTCTTGTAATATGCGATGTGATATTCTCGGTATGGTAAAGCCATACGATGTTTACAGTCGTGCTATCTCGACAATTTCAGAATTCTATGTTTTTCATTTGAAAATTTATAGCGAGTTTACACCGTTGTGTCATTTTACATCGAAATCAAACTCGCGGAAAATCATTAAATGTAATACGATCGTTAAAGTACGTACTGAAAGCAGCGAGGTGAAACTAGTAATTCGTTACACCAATCGGATTTTCAGTGATCTTCTCATTAAATTCTCATTCAATTTCACTCATCTGTTGATTCATAAATAGCTCCCTAACAGCTTTATTATATTTGACGTGGTTCTGCCTATATATAGCTGTTGCTTCAAATTATAAAGTAATTTTATTTTCTATCTTTAATGTAATTACAGCGATATTAATAAATTATTGATAAAAAATGTTCACCCTTAGTGGCATTACCAATATTAAAATAATATTATAATAGCAATAAAAGCCTAACAGAATAATTTTTTTAATAAATATTCAGTAAATATCCCACATAATATACATAATTAATTTTTATCTCGTTAAATAAAAATCTACAATAATATAGAATAATATCGTCAATATCCGGAATGTTATAACGGCACTATTAGCACCATCATCATTACGATTACTATCGTAAATGCCGTACAAGCACGGAAATAGAGACAAGTAATGAAAGGATTAAGTCGTATAAAACGCTTTATCCGTACAGAAGCATTCGCTTTGTGTTTGAACCGTAAAGCTTGCATTTAATAGAACTGCTGTTACTACTGCTGCCGTTATGTTTCGACTTCACATATATACGCGCGAATGTGATCGCTTGGCTTCCGGAATTACGTATTTTCACGTGGCAAGTGTGTACGGTATGATGTTGCGCTCGTAACACGTTCGTAACAATCAGGACTTGTATAAACGTACGCCGTATCCCGCTATTATTTCCGTGTACATGATTAATAATTGACCAAGCGAAGGATCAAAATAAACCATGCCGCTCGAGAATTTGGAACTTGGCTCCGATCTTCGAGTCATTTTATTACCGTGCGATGACAAAATTAGCAACAAGGAAACTACGTCCCCTGAAAGTTTATATCATGCGCAAAGAGATACAAATTAATTTTTGCAGCTATATGTATAAGAAAAAAACTTTGCATTCAACTATTCCTAGATTTTTACCTAGATAAAAATTAATTGTTTAGATATATATGTGGAATAGAATAAAAAAAGTATTCGATTATATAGATTTATATTATTTTATATGTAGATATGTAATATAGAACAATTTAAAATAATATAATATTAATTATTGTAAATATAATTAATTAATATAATTATAA